TTTAAAACTTTATTTTAAATTAACATTACTGATTTTATTTTTAATGCACATATTCAGTGTTGTGGATTATAGATTTTAAAAATGAAACATTTCATTGTAATAATAAGGATGTGTGCCCCCCCTTCACCCTGGCTTAGTTTTAAAACTCTAGGGCAATATATGAGAGCCAAGTCAGTTGTCCCATGCAAGTTATGAGGTAGCCCATAGATGAGGAGCAAAGAAAAAGAAATGTTCTCTGCTTAAGTAGATGAAGGGAGCAACTATCTGTCTCCCCTCCCAAAAAAGTTTCTTCCTTGATCTCATTGGTATGGAAATAAAATGCCTGTAGGGACTCCTTCTTTCTTGGAATGTAGCTGTATTACTGAGGTGATAATGTCCCGGTCTTTTTGGCACTTAGGGACTTAAGCTAGGGACCTACCTCAAGGATACGACCATTAGTGACTTTCTCCAAAAGATAGGTAATGTTGTACTATTTTACATCAGAGCACAGTTGTGTATATTGAGGATACTTCTGAGAAATGTGGTGTTAGGTTATTTTGCTGGTGTGTGAATATCATAGAGTGGACTTACACAAACTAAAACTTGTATATCACTAGGCTGCATAATCTATGGAACCACCATTGTATTTGTGATTCATAATTGGCCAAAATACCATTAGGTAGTGCCTCACTAATTAAGTAGACTAATGGCTCCAGATCTAATTCTTGTAAGCTGAGGCCTTTTTCTGTGTTTTTTCAGGAATCTAGGTATTTAAGAAAATTTTATCTCCCCATACTCCACAAATTGATCTATACATTCAGTGTGGTCTATCTCAAAATTATAGCAGGCTATTTATAGAAATCAATAAGGCAATACTAAAATTTATATGGATATGTAGAACAATTTTTATTTTAAATAAATTTTGGAGAATTTATACTAGCTGATTTCAAAACTTAGCATAAACCTATAATAATCAAGACAATGTGAAATTAGTGTAAAGATAAATCTGTCTCATCTCAATAGAACAGGGTAGAGATTCTAGAAGGAAACCCTCCCATTTGTGGTAAACTGGTAAGGCACTTCAGTAGAGAAAGTAAACCAAATACTGAGGCAATTGTATATTCAAATATAAAAAGTGAACTTAGAACTTTACCTTACACCATACGTAAAAAAATTAACTCAAAATGAGACATAGTCCACAATACAAGAGCTAAAGCCATAAGTCTCTCGAAGAAGACCTAGAATAATTCATGGTGACCTTGATTTTGGCAGATTTCTTATGATACCAAGGCATGATCCATAACACACAAAATAATAAACCAAACATACAGTTTTTTCTTCTTCAGAAGACATCATTGAGAAAATGAAAAGAACAAGTCACAGCCAGGAGAAAATATTTAAAACTCATATATGATGAAGGAATTGTGTTAGAATATATAATGTCCTTTTATACATCAATAAAAACCACTCAGTTTACAGTGGGCAAAAGATGCGAACAGAAATTTCACTGAAGAAGATAACATGGATGGCTAATAAGCCGTGAGAAGATGTTCAACATTATTAGGGAGCTGTTAAGCTAAAAATAATATGATACCACATACACCTACTAGAATGGCTGTAAGCAAAATGCCTATTCCAAATGTTGGTGAGAATGTAGAATCTGAACCCTGCATTTCCTGGCAGTGGAAATATTTTGGCAGTTTCTTAAAATGTTAACACACAACCGTGTGTGGTGATGCATGCCCATATTCCTGGCTACTCAAGAATGAAAGGAGGATCATGGTCCGAGGCCAGTCCAGGCAAAAGTGCAAGACCCTATCTGAAAAATAAACTAAAAGAAAAAAAAGTGGACTGGGGGTGTGGCTCAAATGGTAGAGAGTTTACCTAGCAAGCATGATGCTGTGAGTTCAATCCCCAGTACTGCCAAAAAAAAAAAAAAAGTTAACATATCTGGCAGGAAATCTCTGATATGGATCCCAGTGGTCTCCACCTGCTAATGTTCAATGCCCTTGAGAGTGCATGGAACCTGCCATTTGCCTTCTAACCAATAGAATATAGATAGCAAGGTGAGGAATATTTCTTTCATAATTAGGTTACAAAGGATTGTGATTTCCACCTTCCTAGCACACCCTCCCTTTCTTGGCATGCATGTTTTGCTGAAGTAAGGTGCCATGTAGGGAGGTCCCACATAGCAAGGAACTGAGGGTGGCCTGGCTAAGAACCAGCAAGGAAGTGAGGCCCTTAGTCTAATTGCCCACAAGGACCTGAATATTAGCAACAACCACTAAGTGAGCTTAGAAGGTCTTTTCCCAGTTGAACCTTCAGATAGAGACCACAGACCTGGGCTTGCATCTTGATTGCAACCTCATGAGAGAATGAAGCAGAGGTACCAGCTAAGTTCTGCTTAGATTCCCAAATCATGAAGTAAATATGTGTTAATTGGCTAAGTTTTGGGGTAATACACTTTTCAGCAGTAGGTTACTAGTACATTATATTTATGCCTCAGCAGTTCCACTCCTAGGTAGCTACCCAAAAGAAATTGAAAGTATATAAACTTACATGAGTTCACAGTAACATTATCAAGTTGTAGTTAGGTAAACAGAATGCAGCACAATACTCATTAATACAGAGAAATGAACTACTGATGCTTGCAACCATGCCAGGCACAAAACACTCACCTTGTATGATTCATTCCTAAGGCATTTCTAGAAAAGCTAGCACTGTAGAGATGAAGCAAACCAGTGGTTTCCCAGGGCTGCTGGTAGGAGTGGGGATTGCAGGGGAATTATGAGGGAGTGATTGTAATCTAATGGTTTTATGCTTACCTCCAGATCCAATTTTTTGAAACTCACTGAAAATTTTTAGGCTGTCAATTATATAAGACATGACTCATTCCTTAATATGGCTGTAAGAACAGTGTATGTCTCAGGAAATAAAGTTTTAATCTCCATTTGTTGCTCTGTTGGGTGCCCGATTTGCGTTCATACAGTTTTTGCTCTCTCTTTTTTGTGCACAGCTGCCCACGTTCCACGTCAGTTCCTCAAGTCCTGCACCACCCCTGGTTCTGCCTGTTGGAATTTTCTTTTGACATGTTGGGCCCGGAGATGTGATTTTTTAGAGGCTTATTGACTTCTCATGTTGTGGATGCCGCCATGGATGGACTTCACTTTTCTAATTTTGTCTTTTCTTTTCCATGACCTCATGTATTGAAAATGTCCACTGCATTGTAATACTCAGCAGGGTGGCTTTTCTCTTGCATATATGGGCTGCTGAGTGTTAATCACTCCTGGGATCTGCATTAACACAAGGGAAGAACTTGGGGATTTTCTTTTTTTCCTATTAGATACATTTGTATCTCAAATTGTTCATTTTCACAGGTGAAAAACAACCAAGAGTTTGTTTCTATCACTTTAACTTTTCTTTTGGGGTCATTGTGGGATTATCTGAAAACTGAATTGAGGCAAGGGTTTCTCCTTGGTTTTCTTCTCTGCTAGTAAATTCTCAGAGGGCCTCGTGACTAATCATGTAATACATGAATTTCCTAATTTCAGAACTTTCAATTCAGTTAGACTGCATTCCCGTGTGTATTTTTTAATGTCTCACTCTTTACTTTTAAAATTCCCTTCTTAGATTTTTTTTTATGCTCATAAACTTAGAATTTTTAAAGGGTAATAAAATAGCATTTGTGGGAGTTCTCCACTTACATTATGTTGAACTTTCCCCTACATTATTAATGTTTGGACACTTATCTGAGCAGTGTATTTGTGCCTCCCAGTGAGGCTAGGGTGGTTGAGACATTGTTGGCTGTGCTGAGCTGATGGATTTAATGGCCAGAGGGCACGAAGCAGGTTGCCTACTGAAACACTGTCCGGAAGCTGGGCACCTCTCTCTTGTCTCCATTCAGATGTTTGTTAGGGTCTTGTGATGTGGCTCAAGTGGTAGAGCACCTGCCTAGCAAACAGCCTTGAGTTCAAACCCCAAGTACCACATCAAAAAAAAAAAAAAATTGTTAGTGATGCTATTTCTGTGAGCTCTGCTTTCCTCATCCCAATATTGTCCATCTTGCATGGTTATTTCAAGGATTAAATGAAATAAAATTTAACGAAGGTATTGTATGCATCATTTAAGATAGTTTAAGTATTCATATCAGAAATGTAAGCAGGCTATTAATAAAATGCTAGCCTAGAGAAGACTTGTTTTAGAAACATATTATAGTTTTAACAGTCAAGACAGTTTTGTATGGATAACTTAATGAGTTACTGTGTAAAACAGATGGGTCATATAAAATTTATAAACAAATTAAGAAAAACATTGAAAGAAGATGAATGTTTGCTCCTTAGAGCAAACACAATTGCATCTGGTTTCAGTTCTAACACTGTAGGTCACTTGTTCAATCTCTCCATTCTAGGCTATATCTAATTCTGCTTATGCTTTGAAATGATGATAATGCAAAAACTTTTTACTTCTTGCAAACTGCTTTGGGTTACTCGGAATTTTTATTCACACTTCTGAAACCAGAATGACATTACCTTTCGCCTCATGAATTCCGTTTTCTTTCTTTGAAAGACATCACCTGATTATGTAGAGTAGTTGGTAGATCAGGGGACCCTGAGAACTCCTTGTTCCCAATCCCCACATAACCCATGTTTGTCAGAGTTTCATGTGAGGGACCTGGGACATAATTTCTCTTCCTTTTTTCAGAAGTCACGCCACTTAAATGAGTTACCAAGGAGAAATTTGTATTTATCACCAAGCTTGAGGAGTCCCCAGAGGCAAGACTATGGAACATAGAAGCTTTTTTTTGCAAAGCATTTGAGATACTCAAGTAGTTGGAAGTATAGAAAGCAAGGAGCCTGGAGTTAGAGGGAAGAAAATAGAAATGATTCTCCTTCTTGCTTTTAGAGTCCCATAGCCAGCATCAAATGTTGAAGCAAAGCATTTGCCTTGTAAATTCAAATGATATTCTGAATCAATGATTTTTCGATCAACAAGAGTGTAATTCTCTGCCCTTCTTTGCACAGGCTCGGCCGGTAGATTACCCCAAGGACTACCTTTCTCATCAAGTTCCTATATCATTCCACAAACACTGGAACATTGATCCAGTGAAGGTGTATCTCACGTGGTTGGCCCCCAATGAGGAAGACAAAGCCACACAGGAGACATGGAAAACTTCTAAAGAAGAGTTATAAAGCATGGTGGACTGTGAGCAGACCTTGGGGAGGAATAGAAATAGACCTGCATCATCCCACTGAGCTGGGCTCATAATGCTTGTGTCTGCCACAAGCACTGGATGCCTCCTGACCTCAGGTGGATATGGTATTTTTTGATGGGTGAAGAAAAGGAGTCATAGGGGAAACTGATTTTTTTTGGGAAATATCACTTGTTTTGAATGATGCAGTTTTAACACAGATTACTGTGCATTTTTAAAGCTATGATACAGCAGCTTTATCACCATCACAGGAAAATAAATGGTACCAGAAGTCCCTTCCCTATTCTGTTTCTTCATTATAATGACTTTCATTTGGACACAAGACTGGAGAGACATGACTGGCTATTGTTCTATATAAAGAGTGGTAGTCTTGATGTGGATATTTTGTCAGTGGTATGAACTTCCAAACCATAGTATTGTATTGATGATGACAGTTAGTTTCTGGGAACTCAGTAGGAATGATGTTTTATTAAGGATGATTCATGAAACATCATAAAAGCCTAAATATGAAATCCTCCACAGCCTATATAATCATGGTTGTTAGGTTTTTATCTATTCTTTGGCTGTTTGCACCTCATAAAAAGAAACTAAGAGGGCTTCTGCTATGGCTTTCTATTTCTTTTTCTAGGTTTTTTTTTTTTATTTGGCAGTACTGGGGTCTGAACTCAGAGCCTCACGTTTGCTAGGCAGGCGCTGGGCTTTCTATTTCTTTAGAAGCTCCTCTGTGTGCCATTTCTCCCTGAAGCCCTATCTTTATGGGTACTTGCAATGAGTATACAGAATCCTGCCAGAAAATAGGATCCTCAGTACTTAAAAACAATGTTGACGTGTCTCCTTCAAGTCAGCTAGCTCCATGCAAGTCTCAGGAAGTGAATTACATTTGGACCTGATGTTTCATTCTCTTTTTTCCTTTGAGTATTACTTACTGATTCTCTTCTGGCTCAGAAGAGACTCCCCATCCCTAGCCAGCACACCATGAGACCCTCCTGGAAGGGCAGAACGGTGATTTGGCAATTTCTCTGGGTTCTTAAAGAATGAAATTTGAACATAATATTTTGAAACAGGCCTAATTTTCAACTCATATTTAATATATAGTAATTTAACACATTCAATATTAATGTATAAAAAAGTACTCTATATTTTAATGTTTTTAATTATATAATTCAGTTTTGTAAAGATGTTTGCATAAGATTTGATTTTGGTATGTCTGGTACTAATTTTGGTATAGTAGAATACTTTCTTCATTTTCTAGAACAACTGTTCTTCATTAACTTCACTTATAATGCATTTTATAGCCAAGCACAGGGTTTGAAAGCCATATCACTAAAAGTTTCTGTGTTAATTTTTTAACAATATATTTTCCATGTAGCTTAGACTTGACTGTTTCCAAAGTGATGCGGTAGTATTGATTGTTTTTCTAAATTAGTCAGTACCAAGACCAGTGTATGGCCACACTGGTTAGCACTGGTATTGTAAACACTTGGTACTGCAGTGCTACAGCAGAATGCTCTGGATTAACTTTGTGAAATGGACTCGGTAACTCATCCAAGGAAGACATTAGGGACAGTCAGCTGGACAAGAGGCACCATAAGGATTTCTAGACCCTATCAGGCCACAATGATGGCATCATCATTGCTGAAGTTATAGCTGGGATTGGTTGTCATTGCTGTCATGGTATTTACTTTCTTGTCCTCTGCAATAAAACTCCTGGAGGGCCTGGCTGCTGCACCAGGAGAGAGGAGTTCTAAGTTCCTTCTGCCCCTGCCTACTTATTACCACCCAGAGAACAGCATCTCATCAACGGGATGGAACCCAGTGTACCTGTACAGGAAGATCCATGTCAAGATTTCTTCTGTGTATGACCAGTGCCTTCTACTGATCCTGGGGAAACCTCCTCTGGTACTTCTAGGTGTTTAGTTAATTTTGTTTCTTTTTTGGAACTATATAAGCCTAACCATAAATAAAACATCTTCACCTACATTTCTGATTTTTCATATGTGTTTGTTAGTCTAGACTAGACTGGGAGTGGGGAAGGGCACAGAGAAAAGGAATTAGTGAAATCAGGGGAAAATGTTGGCAACTCAATAAATATTGTTTTAAGTGAGAAAAATTAATAGAAAGCAACTTTTTAGTGAAAACTAACAGAAGTTGAAAATATAGTCTCTAAAGCCATTATGCTTTAATGTATGACAAGTCAGAGATGTATTTGAGAATTGAGAGTTAAAGAACTTAATTTTGAGTTTGAACTCTCTAGGACAGACATTGTCCTCCTTTCCTTTGCCCTTTAGATAGAGATTTCTTTCCCCCATAGCTATTTTTATTCTTGGTATTTAACACCAAGGATTTATGTGTGGAACAACTATATCATTTTTACCTTTAAGCCATTTTTGGTGTTCTACCCAAAGAAGGTTGACTATGTAGGATTTTTACATCTTGCAGCTAAATCAAAAATTCAGACCCAAAAATCAGCTTTCTAGAATGCTTGGGGACGTAAAACAATAGCATGCTAGGCCATGAGGGGTGTGAGGCATGGCATGTGAGTTGTCAGTGCTTTCTGAAGTTCCTGATTTCTTGAAAACCCTTAGTGCTTACAGTCCATTCCATCACAACTATTTATGTGTGTATAGTCCCCTCACAATTAACAGTAGAGTAGGCATTTGTAAGAATATCTTCCATTGGTAGATTTATAATTTCTCTGGAATAAAGGGAATCAGTCTATAGATTCTTTCAGCACTGTTTATTAAACGCACTATGTGCCAGACAATTGAGGCTACCACTTACCTTTCCCATTAATGACTCTGTCCTTCCCATCTTTGAGTGTCTGCACCTAGTAGGTGCTGTTTTATGTTCCCAAGCATTCTTTCAACTTGTCACCTGAAAAATATCTTTTCTACCTATCTGTAAAATACTTTGTTTCTGGTGCTGATTTTAGCTCACATTTTTACTTTAAAGGTGCTGATATTCTAAGAGGGGGTGGGATAGGAACAGGGGGAAGGGACTTTAGTGAGCAAGATGGTTTCTGAGAAAAATCATGCTGTAAAGCACTGAGAGCAGAGTACTGTGATAGCAAAAGCCAGGTGGGGTCAGGGACTGCTTTGGAAAGCCAAAAAAGGCCTGTCTGAGAAAGTGATATTGTAGCAAAGTTCCAAATGATTAAAGGGATCAGTACAACAGAGGTCTTTGAAGGGTGTTCTAGGTAGTGAAAATACCTAGTCCATGTAAAGGCATTCACATGGCAACGAGCTTGGAGGTCTGAGAAAACCAAGCACGCAAGCACGTGTGATTATTGCTCACCCATAATCGTCTTTGTTATTATGAGACATCCAGCTGATATCCAACAAGCAGTTGGACATGGAAGTCTGGAGCTCTGTGAAGTTGTGCTGGAGTTTTTAAGGTATTGAAAGCCGGAAGAATGGCCAAGATGATCTGGGGAGAGAACATAGAGAAAGAAAGGGGTATACAGCCTACGCAGGGGGACAAATCAGTGCGGTAGAGACACCAGAGGGTGCAGTGTAAAGGAAGCCAAGGAAAGTATTTTGAGAAGCAAATGATCCACCATGTCACAAGTTGCCAAGAAGCCCATTAAGAGAGGACTGAGAAATGACAGGGTGATTCAATGGCATGGAAACCACTGGTGACCACCTTGGGTCACTCTCAGTGAGTGAGACAGAAAGGAAAAAATGGGAGTTGAGGTTGGAGACAGTTACAAATCTCTCTCTCTCTCTCTCTACCCCCCTCCCTCTTTGTCTCCCGCCCTCTCCCTCTCTTCCTCCCTCTCTTCCTCTCTCCCTTCCCCAGCCACAGTTAATTCTATTGAACTATTGAAGTTATGAGTTAAAGGCAAAAGAAGGTAGCTTGAGTGAGACATGATACCAAGGGAGTTTGTATTCTATGACAGAAGAATCTAGGGATGTCTTTGTGTGATGAGAATGATCAAGTAGAAAGGGAGGATTACCACTGGCAGTATTAGTGACCCAAGCTGGAATTCACAGCACAACATAGGGATCCAATTTGATAGGAGACTCCACAGTAAAATGAAGGAAAGGTGGAGGCACTGATACAGAAAGATTTATAGATATTTTCTGGGGTGAACATGTGGTGTTGCATCTGATCATTTCTCTTAAGTGTGAGGCAGTGTTACAGATTTTATGTCTGCTTGATTTCATGGAGAATAGCACCATGAATTATAATAGCAATGATAATCACTTAGAGTGCAGTGTTTCACTCCAATAACGTTTTGAGGTGAATATTTTTGTTTTTCCCAAATTACATTGGGGGTAGCTAAAACACACAGAGAGACTCAGTCACCCACTCAAGTTACATCTGCTAAGTGGCAGAGCTGGGTTTTGAACCCAGACATTTTGGTTCCAGAGTATCTGCATTTAGTCTTTCTGAATTTAATCTTTCACTCCTACCAAGAACACGTAGTCCCTTCTCAGACTGAATGTATATTGAGTTCTAAATGCCAGCATATATAAAGACTACTGAGAATCCAAGAGTTAGTCATGCATTAACCCTAGAGAAGAGGGATTACAAAGCAAAATATGATTATCAAATAAATTATGGAAATAATATGTGCCAGCAGATTTTAAAAGGAAGAAACTGGCTATTTGAGATTGAATTTTAAACATTTGTACTGTTAAAAGAATACATATATTAAAAATGAATATACTCATACCCTTTGACTTGGCAATTTTTCATAGGCATGTGACCTCTTAAATCCATGCCTCAGGAGGTGTGCACAAGAATGTTCACGGTAGCATTCCTTCATCAGAGCTGAAAGCTGGATGGTGGAGCACAGCCTATGTGTCCATTGCTTGAAGAACAGGCAAATAGGTTGTGGCATAACTTTATAATATCTTCATATTATGTATCCGCATATCTTTACAGTGCAGTAGTTCATAAGAATGACCTACAGTAACATGAAACATGTTGATGTTAAGCAAATTAAAAAGGTCAATGTGCAAGACATACAAGGAAAAGACATTTCAATTATATTTCAAATCATGCAAAAAGAGAAAATAAACACATAGAGATACATGCATATCTTTTTAAAAACACAAAGGAAAGTTAGAGAAGTCTAAACACAGAATTTAAGATAGTGGTTACCTCCAGGGAAAAGAGAGAGAAACTAAGCTCTGAGAGAGACACCAGGGTGACTCAAAAGCAGTGGTCATTTCTGTTTCATAAACAGGCTGGTGTGTATATGAGTATTTGCTGTATAAGTACTGTTTGTATTATATATATGTGGATGTGTGTATATATTGTGAATATGCCTTAAAGTTTGTTCAACATTTAATTTTAATGTAATGTTATTTGTGACGATTTAATTTTTTAATAAGTATTGTTGAATAGCTAGTGAGTGTGTGTATATACCTGTGGCTGCTGTAACAATTTATCACAAACTGGTTTAAATTATCATTCTGTTTTTCTGCCTGTAAAATTTGGATGTCTATTAGCCTTCTTTTTGTCCTGTTTCTGTCCCTTTTGGTCCAAGCTGGCAGCATTTCTGCTGATATAACAATCTCAAAACCATGTGAGTCTCCCAAACTTGTCAAAGGGATACAAGGGGCTGCTCCATTGGCCTTACTGATCATGCCATCTCTGTTCCTGGATTCTGCCCAGATAATAGAGAAATCCCAGAATGGTATTTTTGATCTCTTTGAGGAACCCTTTGATCCTCTTATATCATTCACCATTTCCATACAACATCCTTTCCTGCTAGTGAATCTCCTCAGATTAGCATTTTTAACAATCTGGATTGCCTGAGAATTCCCCAAATTGTCAACACCAGGCCCTTTTTTTGCTTAAGAATTTTTCTCTCAAGTTATCTCTTTCCTCTCAAATTTTTCCTACAGGTCAAATATCCCTTATTCTAATTGTTTGGATTGGAAGTGTTTCAAATTTTGGAGTTTTTCAGATTTTTGAATATTTATGTAGACTTTATCAGTTGACAGTCAGAAAGTGTAAGATTTCAAAGTATTTTGAATTTAGGATTTTTGGATTAGAGTTGCTTGGCCTGCATACACCATAAGCAGAAACCAGGTGTATCTTCAGTACTTTGCTCAGAAATCTCATTAAGTATGCAA